ATGGCTCCTTTTAAAATGTTAACATAGTATTCCACTGCCATTTTATTACAGGAATAATACCAAAATATCTATAATAATCAGTTTATTTTTAATAGTTAAGCTTTTAAAATAAGTATGTAATAGCAGAAATAACATGAAAGTATATAAACTTATAATTAAAATGTGAAGATATAATAACGCCCTTTCAATAAATATATAGGACTATAGATATATAATATTTTAAAGTTTTTCTTGTTAATTGAAACATTTTTGTTCCCTGTATTTTTATCAATTCCCATTCCTATAAACATGGTACAAAGCCAAATTTTTGCCTATCTGCCAATTTGCTAGGTGAAGAATTAATTTATTTCCCCTTTGTTCCTGAGACTGGATAGTTCTTCAGATACTTAGCAGTTTTGTGCTTCTTTAGCCTTCATTTTTAAAAAAATAATTGCTATTGTTTCTTCATGCATTTGTTGCTTATACTGGATCAGTACAGCCTATACAGGCATCTAAGCTTGCTTGTAGTCTGGCTTACTCCTCTCTTTCTTCCTCCCTCTGTTGCTCCCTTAATTTCTTTCTTTTGTGAGAGGACTTACAGTGTATCCCAAGCTTGCTTTGAGCTAACTATCCCTGTCCCTACCTCATAAGGGTTGGGACCATAGACAGGTGCCAACACATCCACTTTTGGTCACTAATTCTAGTACAGGGTTTCTGTCCTTAGAGTTAGACATTTCTTTTAATCTGCTAGTATTTGTTTTCCATGAAATATTTCTAACACAGAGTTTATAGATAGTTTAGAAGTGGAGAGATCTTGACAGTTTAGTTTTCTTCACTTAACCTGAGGATGTGTATGGTTATGCTAACTCAATGCCACAGCTCATATGGGGCAGGATACAGGGCTCCGTAAGATAGATTACTGGCCTCCATCAATCCTTAACCTTCCGCAGCCTCCTATGGACCGGATCTTTGTGGAACAGCCATCAAAACAGGACACTGGTCAATAGAGCAATATTCAAATTGCCTCTTTTTTTTCCCCTCTCTGTCTGAATTCTGCTTTAATGTTCCTTTTTTCATAAGAACCAATTGGTTTACTGTTTTAAAAAAAACAACAACCTGCAGTATCTTTTTCCTATAATATCTTGGTTTAAAATCTCCTTTGGCTTGATACATCTTGAAGCTCACATTCAAATCATCCCCTTTTCAATCTTCCACCCTGATTAAGTTGGTCAGTGAGCCAAGAGGATCTAATAGCCAGCGTGGTGGCTTCAAAAGGAAACGAGAGGGGCCTCGCCTTCCAGTGCCAACTATGTGGTGGACTGTGTGTGCACTTTATCTCATCTACTCTCAGACGGACATTATGCAATGCTATCTTTATTCCACCCATTCTACAAGCCAGCAGACGCTCTTGCCCGGTCAACAGAAGTAAGCCCGAGTTGAGTTTGAAAATTACTCTCTTCATGGGGTTCAGGGGAGTTATATTGGTAGTTAGAAATTCATAGTCTCTGTCTTTTAAAAATTCTTTGAACTTCAAATAAGAGTTTTTCAAATGCTGAATTCCGGGACAATCTTCAAATTATACAACATCGTGAGTCTTCACACAGCCATGGAAAAGGCTTTGCCATTTTCATATTTGAAGCTGATTCGATGATCCCTTGTTGTTGCTTTAAGATGTGTCCCTACAGGAAAGAACTATGGCTCCCGATGTAGGAAGATTATGCTTGATTCCATTTAGAAAACGGACTGTTTGGTCTATGTGTCGTCTGGCTCGGGAAGTATGCCGGGGTTGTCAATACAGCTGTCTCGCAATTTATCTTTGACGATGAAGGAAATACCATACCCATGAGTGCATGAGCAGATGTCTGTTAAGCTTTCTGCCATATCATTTGACAGCTGACTAGCTGACTAAAGGCTTGAGGATGTGTGTGTGTGTATGTGTGTGTGTGTGTGTTTGTGTTGGGTGGTCAGGAGGTCTGTATAGCAGTGATCCAGAATTCCTAAGCACTGTGAGACTTAAGCCATCAGTAAGCAGAAAGAGGAAAGCATGGTAGAAACAGAGAAAAAAAATATTTTAGGGACCTAATTACAAATTTGACCAAATAGTACGGATGTGTTCCTAGAGAGTTGGGCAAAGATGATCTTGCCAGTTCCCACTCATTTGCTAAAAGAGTAAGAAAAAGTGCCATTAATTCTAGGGGAAGCTTATGGATAAGTTTCTAGCAACAGGCAAGTTTGTATAGGAGCGGTTAGTGGTGGGCTTTCTTGTTTAAGAAAAAAGTGAGAAATTCTTAGTCCCTAGTGTGACCTAAAAGGACACAGCGGGTTCTGAATAGATTGGCGTTTATGTGTGTGCCCTTTCATTTTGAATTACACATGCTTTATTGATGCGGAGTCATCAGGAGGAGAATTGTCTTTAGTATTACAGAAAAAAAATTACATCTTACTGTGCCTACATTACTGAGTCTCAGCACTTAGCAGTAATGCCAGTGGCATTCAGACAGGACCTGTCAAGGAAGAGAGCCCCGAATGCCAAGTTTTAGTGGAACTTTGGTCTTAGTGACCCATTCTTTGTATGAAAGTTCACCTGTTAAAAAATGGTATTGTTTCCAATCTAGGCTAATGTCTTTAGATGATGTTGTGAAAAACAAGAGCTGTCAATTAGCAGTGTTTCACAGATGTTCTCTAAACAAACTCTGAATATCTATGACCATCTAATCTTGAGATCTGTAATGATTGAAGAATAGCCGGCTGTCAATCAAAAATACATATAATTCCTTGCTATTTTCCCCAAAGCAATTTTTCTAGGACAGGTGTCTATCTAACTACCTTATCATCATGACCTTATCTATGTTTTCACACTGGTAAGGAGTACTGATATTTTAGGATTATCCAATATAATACTTGTATACAATATTTGCAATTGCTCGTAATATTTCATCTCACTTTAATGCTTCGTATGTAATATGCACGGTATCGGTGCTCAGAGTCGCACTTGTGAATGGGATCATTCACGGACAATCCAGTGTTTCAGTGCCATCTTCTGTTGCTTGCAGAATGGAGATTTTGAGTACTGATCATCCTCTCTTGAGGCCTTTCTGATGTTCATTTGAGTTCACTATGTAATCAAACGATGGAGAACACAAGGTGAAACAAAGGAGATCAAACAGTCTGATCTTAGGGAGTAGGGGTTGGTTGACTAGAGAACAGCCTGAAATATTAAGAGGTGAGCTCAAGGTACCCATTTCCTGCTACTTCTTTGCTTCTTCAGCATACAGCCCTTTAATTAGTGTGCATGTACCTGTGTGTGCTCTTGGTATAGAAGCTTAGGTGTCTTCTTCCTCAGTCAGTATTACTATGCTTCACTTCACATTTTTTTCCTTCCTTCCTTCCTTCCTTCCTTCCTTCCTTCCTTCCTTCCTTCCTTCCTTCCTTCCTTCCTTCCTTCCTTCCTTCCTCCTTCCTCCCTCCCTCCCTCCCTCTCTCTCT